CCACTACTGCCTTCTCTTCCCGCTCCCCCCTCCCCAGCTTGAGGACCAGAATTTCTTCCTTTATGTTTTTAGGCATGGAAAAGTAAGCATATACTTAAACATTTTTTTAAGGTTTAATACTCAGGTCCAGCCCTACTTAAGCAAAGAATTCACAGATGATATTTACAAGTCCAGTGTAATTACTGCAGGGTTGAAAAACAAGTTCTGTGAGTTACGGTACATCATTGTTTTTCTTTTTTCTTTTTTTTTTAATGTTACCAAGAACAATGTGCCTTTCATTTCCTGCAGTGCTGTTAAGGTACTTGCAGCTCAAAGCAGCAAGAATACATTAAAACTAAAAAGCATTTGGTCTGGGCATTAAACATTTTTATTTTTTAAAGAAATGCCTTTCCCTCTACAGAAATTGTTCGAGCAATGAATTTGGCACACACTTGTAATCAGCTGTAATAATGAGTGCTGCCTCGCTCACTTGAAATGGGAGAATTTACCAACTTCTTTAAAAAGAATTTGTTAATCCACAATTAAAGTGGTGTGCTACCAACTTTGAGTTATCAAATCACAATGCCACATGCTCGAGAGACACCAGTTGTCTGCAGAAAATGACACAGCGTTCTTCTGCTTTACACAGCACACTTCGTGTGTACCTTTACGCTGCAGTTATTAATTCGCCAGTACTACCGCATCAAACACAAACATCGCCTGCTGGATGTCTGACATCCATTTACTGACAGCAGTAACACAGCGCTCTACCACAATTATTAACCAGTTTGTGCTACACCCTCCTTGCCTTTCTCCAGAGTTAAACTCCTGCTGGAGCGGAGCAGGATTTGACTTCTAATATTCTATGAATCTCTGAAAGCTGGAATCACAAATATCCCCACTTTGCAGACAAAAAGACTGAAAAGTTTTCCTATAAAAGTTTAAAATAATCCTACTTACAAAAAGAAAATCTATCTGATAGCTGTTTCCATGACTGAAAGAAAGAATAAAAGCCCTAGAGAGAGTCCACAGCAGTGCTGAGCTGGGAATTCAGTTGTTCCTGATCCCCAGGCATGCAGTCACTTCACTGCATCAGACTAGCCATTTTGTCATCCTCAGTTCACTGAAAACTAGTTTGTTTGTAAAATACAACACCAAACCAGTGCATTTAACAAGCTTTTAAAATCAATAACCTTTTTTTTTTTGATTGGGTGAATTGCAAAATCACTTTGCGGTGCCAACTGAAATGAAGCTTTTACATATCATTAGGCAACTACAAAAGTGGGGAATTTTCCACACGGGTGTTCCACCCAGCTGGTCAGAGAAAAAACTCATTTGAGCAAAATATCAGGACATCAGAACATGCTCCTGCCTTTCAAATGAAGTTGCTGGCCTCTTTCATCATCCCTCCTGCAAATTTCCTCACCCACATAACAAACAGACCGATTCTGGGTTTTCTTCCTCTCCCCGAGAAGCTCTTTCCCATGCTAACAGACCTGAGAGACAGCACCACCGTGCACTGTGCACACCATTCGGTTACGTGTTAGCTTTATCCCCGGTTCCAGGACAAGACATCTGGACCTTCGACCATGCATGCATGAACGAGCCCTGTCTCACCTGCAGGTTTGCTTTTCATGATCACCATGCTGGATCTCCCTCTCTAGAAAAAAATAAATGCTTAATATTTCTGTAAATTTTTGCAGTAGTGATTGGGTAAGAGATTGCCTGAAAACTATCCTGGCTTAACGAAGGCTGAAGAAAAGGCTCGAGTTGGTGCTAAAGCCACCACTGAGAGCAGAAGATATCACCATCTTCTCTGTGTGTGATGATTCTGCTCCAGAAAATGCAACTGTAAAGCCCACTAGAAAAAAAGAAGAGCCTTTAAAAAAGAAAAGCTTTCTTTCCCATGAACTTCACTTTAACGAATGTTAGACATACAGGCTTTCCAAAATAACACATACAATTTAAAATGACAAATTAAAATCTGTAGTAGGAGGCCTTCTTTTTCAGGGCTGTATAGTTGACCCTTTTGAACCTACATTACTCAAGGTATGCAAAATATATGTGTATAATAAATAGCTCTAGAATTTATGGAGTGGAACAGAAAGGATATTAACAGGCAAGTAGAGAGGCTGTATAACCCTCACAAGGCCTTTAAAGATTTATTTTTTTAAAATGAAGGAATGCATGGATGTAAAAGGTAGTACTTAATCGATACACTTCTTTGTGCCTTCCAGAAACACATGCAAAATGATTCCAAATCTGCCCTCAATCTGGTCATTCTGCTGTTAGCGTCAGTGGGAATAAGATTATTCACAATACTATTTTTCTTTGATTTAAAAAAAAAATTCCTCTCTGTGTGGGCTCATTCCCACTCTCAGTAAAATCAATTACGAGACTTCCATTGACTCCAGAGGGATTTGGATCAGGCCCTGTGGAAGTGGGTCTACAGCAAGTGCAGAACAACGCAGTTAATATGATTTATTGTGTCCGTTTCTGTGCGTGCAGTTTTTCATTTTCTAAAGCCTGCAGTTTTGCTTTCATCCTCACGTTCAGTAGATAAGAGCTGCAGATCTATGTTGATCTACACACTGGGTACACTGCAAGCTGGGGGCTGTGTGTGCTGAGAATGAGCTCAGCGTCTGCCCAGGGGGAGCAACCCCTTTAGGGCCAAGAGACTGCCTTAGATGCATTTGTAAAGAAAATCTCCCACACAGGCACTGAAAAAGGTGCGTAATCAGTTAGGAGGCTTCTGCTGTCGTGGGGAAAAATACCCTTTAGTAAAACTGAGAAAAAGCAAAATCTTTTTCCTGTTTATTAAAAAAAAAAGTACCTTTTGCAGGTCACTGGTAAAGTTCCAAGAATTCACTAAAAGCTTGTTTTACAAGGAAGACTCAGGCTCCAAATCAGAGATATTTCATTTCACTAGGCTCTTACAGATTTTACATTATTAAACACTGACATTACTGCTTTTCGGGGCGGTTGTTGAGTAACAGGCTTCCTTAAGACTAAGAAACTGCAGGGTAAGAAGAACTGTGGTTTAATAGCTGTGAAAGAATATTATCTAAACACGAAATAATAACATGCTTGGTGCCTAATACATTCTAAATTAAAATACGATTTAATAAACACAGGCAACATATTCCCCACAAAAAAATAGCAGAATTGGCAGAACAAAAATCACAGTTTAGTCAGTTCTTCTCTTAACCTCGCAATCCTTTGGCTACAAATTAGAATTTCTGTGAACAGGATTGATAAGGGAAATTAGGCACTGTCTTTCAGAAAAAAACCAGAAATATTCTAAGACAGTATGTTTAGAGATGAGCAGCACAAAATCTATCAAAATATGAAACCTTACATATTTCAACGGGAGGAAAATACAGGAACCTCAAAAGCCAAAATCTTACCAGCCCAATAAGCCCTATGTTCTATGTCCTATGATGTGTGCTGGTATTTTAAAGTTTTTTATGTACCTAAACCTCTTCTTCCCTTAATTCTATCTGCCGTTTAAACCCTGATCCAAATGCAGCCTGGATGTGAATGCAGCCCTTCAACCTCACTCCCACTTGCAGCTTGTTTGGTTGCTAGTAAAGTCCCCAGAACACACACTGAACACATGTACAGCTGTAGGGATTTGAGGCAAAAGCAGTTAGTTGCTCTGTGAAAAGGCAATCACAGTTGTATTATTATAGATACAATATTTCTCCATGAGATGGATTTACATATCCCAAAAATGGTGACAGGTTTTAGAGAGAAAAACCCTTCACACAAATTCTTTTGTGTGTGCACAGTAGACCCGAGTACAGCAGATCCCCCATCTACATTTAGGTCTTATAAAAAAAATCTGGTTATGAATTAAAAAAGTAAAGAAAAACTATTAAAAATAATCACTTTCACTTTGGGAGCCGTTATTTCTAAGTTCTAAATACCAACAGAAAAACAAAACTCAGTTGTTGATGGGCCAACAAAAATTGTTGAGGTCTACCTTACTTAAACATAAAATGGAAGAGAGGCTGTTCCCTTACACACTTACTTACACTTTCACATACAGTCCCTACAGAAATTTGCTATTATCGAATGGGTTTTTTTCAGGCTGCTTTACAAAGCAAGCCATTGGTTCAGTAGAAGCTATTGCTTCTACTTTAAAACTGCCCCAGTTCAAAGAGTTATCAGTGTTCCCAAAAGTCACAGTCCTGATGCTACTTCCAGATAAGCTCAAGCCGCTGCCACCTGAAACAACGGTACTGTGAACATACAGAGGAGAAGGAGCAACAAGCTCTAGTTGAGCCTCCCTGCTCCACTTACCCGTAGTACCTACAACCTTTAAAGCACACTGATAAAAAAATTCAGACAACGCCAGTAGCACCTGTATCGACCCCGCAGCGGGTACCTGTCTGAGCAGCTGCTGTGTTTATAGGTGTGCAGTCCTGCCCTGAAACCGAAATATTTGGGAGCGTTGCTGCTCAGTTTTGTTTAGCAGATTTTAGCAGTAGAGAATGGGTCTGCAGAAACATATTTCAAAGCAACCATTTTGTTTCGCAGGACTATCTGAGATCCTGCACTCTAAAATGATGGCTGGCCACATACCGAAAGTTAGGTACTTCAGTGTGTCATGTGAGAGCATCAATAAACAAAATGAAGTTAAAAGCACATAGATAAAAATGAAAGCGATGAAGCACACACCCCTAGGGGGTCATGACTCACGGCCCAGGGATTGAAAGCCTTTGCTACGGAGGAATAAGGATAAGGCTTGCATACAGCAGGCTCTTTAATGGCATCTCCCTAATTAAAATTATTTTTAAAGGAAAAAAAAAAGTCTCTCTCCAGGACTGGAGAATCAAATGCTACCTTAGATTAGTGAAACAGTAGCATTTTAACTATGAGGAGAGTACACAACCTATCTGTAGCTATCCCATGTCAATTATTCTGAATAATCTTTTTATATCAGACATAGGAAAAAAATCTTTATAAATATGGGCTGTTTTAATATCCCAAAGCAGGAGCAGCAGGTAAGAACTTACCATTTTCTGGCTGGTCCTTAATATCAGCTTCACTTGGCTGGCTGGGACTTTCAGATTGACTTGAATCTGAAAAACATAAAATACAGCCAAAAATTACAGGGTCTGCTGTGGAAAATAGATCAGAGGCGCCAGACTTCCTCAAAAGGCTGAGAGTACAAACTAAGGACAGGAGTGTTGCACTAGGACATGATAATGCAAAAGTCCTGTGCCTAGGTAATATTTTTGCTAGAAAAAAAAAAGGGAATTTTGTTTATGGCACTACACAGAGTGCTTGATGTGTGTGTTAGCATAAATTAAGCTTTGAGAATCCTTCTTTTTAGAGAAGGCATATTTAAACTACTCTCCTACATGTTTTTTATAATGCAGCCTCTATGTTGTATACAAACCAGAGCCTTAATCCAACACATAGTAAAGTCTCAAAACATATTTTCAATCAGGCATATAAAGGTAACTAAGCAACACTACAAAGTCGTGGAGATTGTTGTCTACACATTTCTGGAACAAAACCTGCAAAACTGATAGAAGAACTGATTTTCGTCATACTGTCACAGTGGTTACAGTACTACGAGATCACTGAAACGTGAGGCTTTGCCCCTGATTTGCAGTGGTATAAATGAGACCAGATACTGGATGAACTGCTTTAGAACTTGTGCAAATAATGGGTGCTACAAACTCCCAGCTAACACTCTCCAACGAATGCAATTTATTTGCCTAAAATAATAAAATGACCTATAAAAGGCTATGTGTAAATATGAGTATTTTGCATTTTTTTACACATTATTAACTCTACTTTATGTGAAGATGATTGCTCTTTGGTTCAAAAATTATTCTTAGTACAAGCTTTAGTCAAACACTGTTTTCTTTCTTAATTATTTCTATCACTATGAAAAGGTCCCATTACCTGTATGGAAAATATTTTTTTTTTAAAAATCCCTCAAATTCCTGTTTTCACAATTAATACCAATAGAAAAAGATTTCTGGTTTTTTTTCCTCAGAAATAATTCAGTAATTTATTGATCCCATTTAAAAAGTTTTTGCTGTGAAACGGAACTTAGGAAATGAAACCACTTGCTACTGCACCAAAACCACCCCCAATCGTGGCAAACCTATTTTCTGACTTCACCTTGACTTTGCAGAGTTTAGAATTAGCTGTCTGAAATCTGACCACATTTCAGTGAGAAGTCAATGCAAGATCAAAAGGTCATGACACTTAACTGTGATTAAATTGAAAATCTTACTTCTGTTGCAACAGAGTGATAACACCACCCCTTCTTTTTCTTTGAGGTATTAATAGCACTGGAAGAAGCAGTACTACTAGTGACCTTGGGTCAAGCAATGCTAATTTATTGCTTTAAAAAGGTTCCTTGCTTTTAAGCAAATGAAGATTTTAATTACTGCAGAGCACTATAAAGAAAATGCCTGTTTTAAATATTCAAATTTTTTTTACCTGCTGACTGTATGCATTAGGTATCATTCAGAAGCTTAGAGGGCAATCTTGTATAAATTAAAAACTACAAGTAAAAAAAAGTGCTCACAAAACAAATTTTGATAAAATTCAGAATATAAACATTGAGAATACTTAGCAAAGAACGCTTCAGTCCTGATACTTCTTTAAAATCAATTACATTCTCCTAAAAAGTTATTTTTCCCAGTGTGTCCAGAATCCATTTCCTCTCTTTTGTATTTATTATTTTTAATAATTTCTCCAGTGAAGCTCAGTGAAAAAAATTATTCTCGCTTCTGCAATTTTGTTTTAAATATTGATCTTCTGAGTTATCTTTAACTGAAGCTCAAATCAGTGACAGCACATAAACTACCGCGTAATACGCACAGTGCTGTTATATTCTGGACACTAGATTTTGGCAAGAAGTTTCATGTTTCCGATACCGCAAAGGTAGAAACAAAGGTAAAATATTAGGAATGTAAAATATTTAGTTAACATTCAAAGTCAACATTCAACGGATTTCATTTTACAGGGTAGGCATTAGGCTTTTGCTTATTTTTCAGGTTTTTCTTTTCCTCCAGCAAGCCATGGTTCAATCAGTGTTTGGGCTTTATGTTTAAAGAAGGGTCAGAATTCCACATAAATTCATATATTTGAAAAAGTTATTGCAGAAATATGGGACTCAAAGTATGCTTTCCTTTCAAAATTTTAAACAACCCAGTGAAGCAGCGAGAGGGACGGGGGCTCAGTGGCAGCCGCAGGAGCTGGGCTCGGCGCTGATGCTCTCAGCCCCCAGCCTGGCACCCTCACTCCCCAGCACGGCCCTGCAGCCGGTGGGCAGCACACAGAGCGGGAGCTGCTCCTGGATTTTGAGAAACAAAGTACTTTTGTTTGCGTTGAGTGCTGTTTTTCCAACACCAAAGCTAGTGGCACAAGAGAGACTCTACCGGCCGTAGGACATTTGTTTGCATACTGAATCTTAACTTTCTTCTTTTATTACTCTGGCTACTGCGATAACATTTTTCCTAATTCTGTTTTCCTGCAACCCACCCCTTCTGCTGAAATTAAATATTAATTTCTAAAAAATACAACGAAGGCTTTAAGCACTATTCTTCATGGAGAGGCACGGGGCAATAAAATGCAGGGCGAGGTAGAATTAAAACCAATCTATATTGCGGTAGAGATCACGGGAGGCTACCGAAAACATGTACTGGGCAAGCGTATGCTCAGCATTGTTATGCAAGGTGGCATCTTGTGGAAACCCCAGATAAGAAGACTGAGTTAAGGCACTTAGCCAAAATGTTTATATGCAGAATTTTGCTTCCCTGATTTTATTCAGATGCCGCAGATGATCCGGTACATATAAATGTGCCGCCACATGGTTAAGGGATTGGCAAAATCAGAGCCGTTGTATTTTACAGTCTTGCCTAGGACGAGAGAGTCTTGCTCAGCCTCCACCGCTCGCTCTCTGCTTTTTCAGCAGTTGGCAGTAACTCCTGTCGGGGCTTTTTTGTTGTTTTGCACATGGAAACTTTAAAATTCCAGTTTTCTGAATGTTTAGTGTTTTGCGGGCTCGGCTACAACAGGAGGGGGAATGTCTGTCCTGCTGAGTCAGTTAGCCAAACAGGTGACCGGAGGAATAAATTAATTTTTGCCCATACATAATTGATATAAATGGAAGATCGTTTTCATAAGCATTTGCATTAAATCAATAAAATCACTTACTATAGAGCAGTTTAACAATTCATCTGATTTTCTCTTTTCTATATATTTGATAGCCACTCTGCAAAACAGTATACACTTTATGCCTATTTTCTTTAGCAACAACACTGCCAGTTAAATTCTACCACCTGCAATAATTAGAGCCATTGGAAAACATACAAAACAAAATATACAGTAGATGCGAGCCCCTCTTGAATCCACGGCCCCCTGCGGCAACGAGTTTCATTGGTGCCTTAAGCTAAGGCTGGTAGGAAGCCAAAGAATCTGTATATTACAATAAAGTGCATGTTATTAAGGGGAGGATTTAAATGATTTCAGATGGAGTTGGAAATATTATAGTGAGGAACCACTATTAAGATTGCTGATTTAAAAAAAAAAATCACCAAGGAATCTAGTTTTATATTTAAGGAAGCTTAACCTTGAATAGCACAATGGGTTCTATTTGGGGGCTGTTTTAGTTAAAGAAAAGTTAGTGGTTGGAATTTTTAACCCTGAACTAGCCGGAGTTAGCGGGACTGTGTACACTGGAGTCAAGGTTACTGGACAAGAGAAGCTTAAGGGGATGTGGTATCAACTGTAATCATGGGGAAACTGGATAAAAAGCATGTCGAAGCTATTTTACTCTCTACTTCCAAGAATCAAATATGATTAAGGGATAAGGATAAAAAAGCCCCCACAAAACACGCTAGTTTTTCCAAAGTAGCATTTCGTACCGCGTCTCTATTCTCTGTTCCTTTTTGGACCTGTTTCTTAAGCATATGCTACCCCAGCGCGACCCAGGTGGTCACGCCCGAGACCCAGGTCTGCCTGATCTCAAACCCTAAGCAGGCAGGGACCTTCAGCTCCAGGATGGAAGCTCTAGACTTTTCAATATGCAATTTTCCTTTTCAGCTACAGTAGGAGTGCGGCTCCAGCCGGGCTGCACGACGGCTGCGTGGAAGCAGGGCTCGTGGCGCTGGAAGGGAGCACTCCATTGTTTGGAAAGAATAAAACCTTCCCAGGAAAGTCTGGCCCGTGGACAGGACCAATGTCAACAGACTGACAATGTTGTTCTTTTTTGTAGACCGTGACACAGGCGGTGGAGAGTTGTTACACTCCTCCACCAAAAAAGCCTGCTTCAAGTGTCATGGCACTTCCCAGTGCTAAACCGCTTCATGGCTACCTGGCTTTGGAGAAACGGGACACTTTCTTGGGCGCTCGCACTTTCTCGGCACGCCGTGTTTTCCACGGTGTGCTGAATCCAGCCTAGCGTGGCAGTGACCTACAGGGACCGGCCTTACTGGCTGCTGGTCTGCGCAAACGGAATTAACGGGTGTCAAGATTATTTTTTACCTATGCAGAGCCAGTCCCCACCAGAAACTGAGTCCTCGCTAAGCAGCCAGCGTGCTAATTCAGATGCAGTTGCATCTATCCTCTAAACAGTAAAGGTGATCCCCGCATAGTGGAGAAAAAAAATCACCGGCGGTGCCAGATGAGCAAGGCTGCGCTGCCACTGCCCATGCTGAGCCTGCTCTGCAGCTAAATAAAGCGGGCTCCCTTCTCTCCGCTGCCAGCCCAGCACCTCGCAGAAGCACCGCAGAAGTGCACAAGTTAAATTTTCCATTCATATCATGTTTTAGGGGGGGGAAATATTGTATAATAAACTGACATATTTTATTCAAGTTTCAGAGTCCTATTTGTAATAAAAAATTTATATGGCTGGGTTGTGTTCATGCAATAAATTTTTCATCTATAATTTTGGGCATGGATTCTACCAAAGATTTATATACGTTAAAAAAAAAAAAATCTAAATCATGGTCCTTTATATACAGTCTTACATGGTGAGCTTAAGGGATTTACAAACAGAAACCAGCACCAGGACGGAGGCTTTTTTACACTCACTTTCCCTTCATTATACATT